TCCCCTCCTAAGTCCGCGTGCTCAGTGGTTATTTAGAAGATGATGCAGAAAGCCACTCCAAAATCTCACCCCTTGCTCCCATCTCCATCTATTATGGAAACATTTCATCGGACCTGGCATGTCTGAGATACCCAAGGTGATTTGGGGTTTGACCAAAAGAAGTCTAGTGAGAGTAAATTACAGAGGCCTGCTTTCATTATTATGGACCAAACGAAGGTCACGGAAAACCCAGCCAGCTTTATGCTGTTACCTAGCCATTGTGCAGTGGGAAACACAATGGCTACTCCTGTTAGGGGACCTTGACCTTAGTCCAGCACCTCAGAGAGGGGCCAGTCCTAATTGAGAGTTGTTTTGGCTGACGCTGTACCTCACAATTGTGATGCCCCTGTTTAACCACTAGAGGGCGTGGCGGCCCTCTGTGGCACAGCCTGGGACTCTTCCATCAGGTATAGAGGTGGTCTGTGTACAGTCAAAACCCGAATGACAGCAGTGGACAGATTCTTTGTGCAGTGAGATGCATGAGGAAGGACAAGAAGAGAGCAAAAGATTTGCTCATGTGACTGTGCTCACTTCTAGTGACTTTTATCTACTTACATTACTAGCCTGAAACATGTTGTTGGATTTTAAGCAGGCTGTTTGTTTTTATATGCTCCTAACAGACTCTGCTTTTGAAAAATGCTTATCATTATGTGGGTGATTTCTTGACTAGGGATTGCTTTTCTAAAGGCAATATGGGGGAAATGAATATTCAAGATGAACTATGAAAATAATGTTTAAAGGTCAGTGTGCAAATAGCCTCCTAAAATACCATTTGTGTATCCATTAAGACTTGGGTGGGGGGTGTGCATGCTTTGTGCAGAAAGACAACATGGCCAAGAAGGACAGAATCTCTCCCCAGTCTCGTGCCCCATAACCAAACATAAGCTAGTTGGTCTTGTCTAGTAGATGGGATTTACCATAGCTGAACACAACTCACACTCTGGGGGTTGGGGGGGCAGGAGGGCAGAGGCTCCAGTAACAGGAAGTTAGCAAAGCAGAAGTAGTACTCTTTCATTCTTGGAGGTGGTTTGGAACTTTAGGTAGAATAAGGACATACTTGAAATTATAGTGATTCTTTAGTGCCCAATTACATAAGATACAGTGTCATCATTCGAAAGAGTCTTTCTTACAAGCTGTCTGACAGAGCAGGTGTATGCCTATTAGATATTAGCCATGAAGTTTCTTCACTATTGGGTGAATCATTAGGTATAAAAAATAATTATCAACCAGGCAACCTACTTTGCTTCGTAACTGATGTCATCCCACGTTGGTACAGGTGTTACACTGCTGGTCGGCCCAGCAGGGAAGCCGAGAGAGACCAGTGTGTCTGTTATGAAACCACTAACTGCATTCTTGACTGAAGACCAGTCAAGTCATTTACGGGGAGGGTCTTCAGCTGAGCTCTCAGCTTCAGGAAGGAAGCACATGGAGGAAGGAGGGAGGGGAAGTCACCCAGCTGGCTGTTCTTGTATGGACAGGGAGGAGTGGCAGGTCACACACACGTGCTGTCCCAGCACTCCCTTGTGCTTCCCTGTAGCAGTGGCATTTCATTCCACATGGTCCTAAGTCCCAGCTCCCCTCCTATGGTTTGTGTCAAATGTGCTTTATCTGATTGAATTCAAACATCCTGAAATGTCACATGCAGATTTCTCGTGGGAATGACTATGTACACGTTTGCAATCATGTTGTGAGAAGTTAAATGTGTGAGCTGGAAAATACTATTGGCAGGGAATAATAAAAAAGGAAATCTTTGTTTCCTGCAGTGGGAACTGACCGTGTAGTCTTAACAGCCTTTTGTAAAATATCTACAGACCAGATAACTTCCCCCTCCACTGCTTGCCCTTGGAATTGTCTCTACATACATCAAGCATACAATAAAAACGTGATGAAATTAATGTCCAGTGGCCTCTTCTATCTTGTGCTTCATGAATAAATGTGGGCATCAGTGACAACAGAAAATGTATGAAAGGGGATATATTTTTCTGACTTGAATCTTCAGAAAACCCAACCAGTTCAGCAGTTTCCTCCATTTTGTACCATTCTGTGGATAAATCCACTCTTTAAAAATAAAAATAAAACCACAACGAGATACCATCTCACACCCATTAAGATTCTACTATGAAAACAACTGAAAATAACAAGTGTTGGCAAGGATGTGGAGAAATTGGAACCCTTGTGCGCTGCTGGTAGGAATGTAAAATGGTGCAGCTGCTGTGGAAAACAGTACAGAGGTTCCTCAAAAAATTAAAAATAGAATTAGCATATAATCCAGCAATTCTACTTCTGAGAATATACCCCAAAGGACTGAAAGCGTGATCTCAAAGAAATATGTATATGCCCATGTTCATAGCAGAATTATTCATGAGAACCAAAAGGTGGAAGCAACCCAAGTGTCCACTGACAGATGAAAGGATGAGCAAAATGTCATACATACACACAATGGACTATTACTCAGCCTTCAAAAGGAAGGAAATTCTGACATATGCTTCAACATGGATGAACCCTGAGGACATTATGCTAAGTGAAATAAGCCAGTCTCCAAAAGACAAATACTGTATGATCCACTTATATGAGGTACCCAGAGTAGTGAAACTCAGAGACAGAAAGAATGGTGCTTGCTGGGGACTGGGGGGAAGGGAGAATGGGGAGTTGTTTTTTAAGGGGTATAGAGTTTCAGTTTTGCAAGATGATAAAAGAGCCCTAGACACTGGTTGCACAACGCTGTGAATATGCTTAACACTGCTGAAATGTAAAAATGGTTAAGATGGTAAATTCTGTGTTATGTGTATTTTACCACGATTAAACAAAAACAAAACCCATACCAGAAACAGAAGTCCAGATCATCAGAATGGCTGGTGGCACCTATGCCAAGCATCTTTCTTTGAAAGCCATAGCAGCCCCACAAGAGGAAAAGATGCCACTTAAGAAAAAAGCCAGCCCTCTCCACTCTTGTGACCTAGAAATGCCAGGTTGCTTCTATGATTCTGGTTCCACCATGACAGGCAAAATGCAACTGAGTATCTTCTTCATGAAACTAGGACTTAGTCACTGGCAACGAGTGACCTCTGTCAAGGTCAGAGTAGTTGACTACCCCATTTCTATGACAAGGAACTGCTAACTCTTTAAACTTTATTCCCAGCTCTTTTTGTCATAAACATAATACACTCCTGCAAAGCTCCAAGGTGACAGAGCCTGTCTGAGTTTGCCAGGGCTGTCATAACAAAGTACCACGAACTGGGAGGCTTAAACAACACAAGTTTATTATCTCACGTTCGGGACTCTAGAAGTCCAAGATGAAGGCGTTGACAGGTTGGTTCCTTCTGAAGGCTATGAGGGGCAATCTGCTGCATGCCTCTCTCCCGGCTTCTGTTGGTTTGCTGGCAATCTTTGGCATTTCTTGGCCTGTAGAAGCATCACCCCGATCTCTGCCTTCGTCTTCACATGGTGTTTTCCCTGTGTGTGTGTCTGTGTCCAAATGTCCTCTTTTTATAAGGACACCAGTCATTGGATTAGGGGGTCCACCCTAGCTCTATATGACCTCATCTTAACTAATTACATCTGCAACAACCCTATTTCTAAATAACGTCGTGCTCTGAGGTACTGGGGTTAGGACTTCAAGGTAAGAATTTTGGGAGGACATAATTCCACCCATAACAGAACAGGTTCGTGCAGGATGCCGAGGCCTCCTGTGGCCTGGAACTTGCCTCTGGAGTCCAGAGCCCCTCCCCATTCAGTCGCCCCCCTCATCCCTCTAGGCACCACCTCTCCCACCCTTAACTCCACGAGGGGTGCCTAAAATTATGGCTCCTTCACATCGTCCCCCACAATCAATGGCTCTGAAGTTCATCATCCACTTTGTCAATTATCCCGGGCCACTGCTTTTCTTCCCCACTCGGACTGGCCCTTTTAATCATTAAAGAGTTTATCTGTACCTCCACTAAGAAGAGAGCGATAAAACAAGTCAGGTCCTTCATTAATTTGGACGCAAAGTGTGTAGCGGCTAACTTTGAAATTAGCTTCTAGATGAGATTTATTTCGGGAACATCCACGAATTTTAATCACTGCTCTCTCCTTGTTATCCAACAGCGGAGCTAGTGGAGTGTGTTCTGAGCAGCCCAGGAAACATCTAAACGGCATGCCTTGGGTGCAGCCAGCAAGAGCTCTGTTTGAGACTGAGCATGTAATGGACAAACTGGCTGTATCCTAGAGGGTGGGGTGCGCTGATACCTGGGTCTGTGGTGACCCGAGGGTTAATGGCTTGCCCAGGTGTTATGTCACTGAATCTTCACGACTATACACTCAGGGACATATTTATGTCTTCATTTTACAGATAAGGAAACTGAGGCACAGATTGGTTAAGTAATTCAATTCCACAAATTTGTAAGAGGCAAAACAGATTCAGATCCATGTTTGCCCCTGAGCCAGCTTACCTAGCGGGTATACCTCATTGCCCTTGTACCACGTTTCACAGAGGACACCTGAAAAGACTGTAATGGACATTGAGGAGATCTTTTGAGGGGTTTGCTAAGTTGGGGGGATGGGGGGTTAAGTGCAATTTAGGTTGAAAGTTGTTCCATTTTAACACAAGTTGGAGGAATTTATAAGCAATACTCTCTGCCCATTTTATATTAATAAAACTGAATATAGTGTTATCTTCTTTTTTTAAAAATGCATTTGAGAAAGTTTTTCCCTTGGTTGGTTTTTCCAAATACCCATTAATTTAGTTAGCTATGAAAACCAGGAAAACATCACTAAACTATGACTTTGTTGTTGAGTCAGAAATGTCAGCTCAAAAAAGAAAGGTCTCGATTCTAACACAGCGTGTTACAGCAAGTGTTGGGTCCTATCAATACCCTTTTAGCTCTGTCATTCTTGGAAACCCTCCTAATCCTTAAAAATGGTGGGCTTAGATTGGTACTGGTGACCACTGATGGGTTTTAACAAGGAAACAACCAGAAGCATTTCCACTTATTAAAGTTTATTAGGTACAAAGAAATGAATCTGCAGATGGAACATCAATAAATATAAAATACATGGGACACGTTGGGGGAGTCTCAGACGACCGTGTCAGCGAGAATATGCAAGGATGTGGGGCGCATGACTCGGATGTTCTACACACGAGCTGATGGGCGAGGGGCGAAGCCTTCGTCCTGCCAGAGGGAACTCGGTGCCCCGGCCTGAGTTCAGAGGGCATGAATTCAGTGCTGGGTCTAGGAGGGGTGTGATGCCAGAGTCCTGAGATTTCTCCCTAATTGCAATTTTTGGTTTCTGCTCATTCCTTCTCTCTGTCCTTGAATAGTTTTATTTTTAATCTCCATCCCCGTGGTGCAAAACATGAATGCATGAACACCTCATCAGGGCAGGCAATCTACTCTGAAGGTGGCATTGCCTTTGTCTAGGGCCTTCTTAATCAGGATAATTAAAACTTTGTAATTATTTTATGCAACTTCGAGGGAGGTGGAGTGGATACTGTTACAATAAAGAAACTCTGACCTTTCTGAAACCTTCCAGAACCAATAAAGCAAATTAGCTAAACCCAGAGCTGATGACCTGCAAAAGCTTCTTTCCCATTGATTTAGCTATTACAATTTGGCATGATTTATTCCCCAGGGAAGGGAACTTGACCTGCTCAGTTGTTTCTATCTGGAAGGAGAAAGAAAGCACAACAATAATGTGGGAGACCATCCACCATCTTGGTCTTTACTCCTGACAACAGCTGGGTGTCTGCAGTACGTTCACCAAAACCCTCCTAACAACCGTCTACCTATTTTGGATGGCTTGGTCTGGGCATGATATCCTTGAGGTGTGAGCACATGCATGGGTTGTTTCAAAGGAAACTTATTTTTCACTGGTCTTCCTGCCTCTTCCTCCCTGATTTCCTTTAATCTGAAGCTATTTTGAGCATAGACCAGAGATCTGTTTGTTTCCTTCTACTTTTTCTCCTTCCTCTGTCACAACCTTCCTCTCCAAGGATGGGAGCATCTGGGGTCAGGCGGGAAGCAAAAGCACACGTCCATTCCCTCGCCAGCTCGAGAGAAGGAGTGAAGCTGCAGTCCAGCCTGTCCTGACCGGTCCACTTTCAGAGGTGGCTAAGCTCACACAGTTCTCCCTCCACAGAGAGGTGCCCGCTACAGGGCACGGGAGCTCTTGGACCAGTTCTCAGAAAGGAGCTAGGTTTTGCCGGATAGGTGGTTCCAGGTTTCCTCAGGGTGGGGGTGGGGCACCAGATACTTGAGGCAGATATTTCATAATACCTTTCGGTCTACATTTTTTCATGTCATAGTTTACATAAAAATCCTGCATTTAGGGGAGAAAAAAAAAGACCTCTGAGATAGAATTAGTAATTTGCTATAATAATGAGTTATGTATGTTTCTAACTTGCAGGGAAAATACTGAAATCTCATAAAGCTCATGTCGCCTCACCCTCGCTACCAGATGGGGCTGGGAGCTTGGAGGGGCCAGGAGGAAAGTCACGGAGGCTTGGGCACAGGGGCACTGTAAACAGTCAGAGCATTGGCTACTTGTAGGCCCATTCAGTTACAAAAGGGGCCCTGCGGTCGGCACTGGAGGGGCCAAGCCCACTCTTGCCTTTATTTTGTGTTATATTTACATTTACATTAGGCAGCAAAAAAAAAATCCCTGTACTGCAAATCGGAAGCGAGATGTGGCATCTCGTTCACTGGAGGCTGCGTGGTATTGTCTGGGTGTGGGGACACACTACTCTCTCTGAGCTGCATCGTTTGTAAGGCATTATTTGGTTTGATTTTGCAGTTGGTGTGATGAGAATATAAAATCATGCCAATAAGAAGCCGTTGTGGATACTATGACGTTAGAACTATCTGCAAACTAAGGGTTCTTCTAAAAACGATTCAGAATCTAGGAAGAGCCAGCTCGCACGCATATTTACAGTCATGGAATGGACTCTATGGGGTGGGAACAGGGCTCTATCTGGACTGACAGACGAATGTCAAGATGCATTTTAAAAAATGTTGAAATGGTGCGTATGGATTTTTTTTTAAATTACTCAAAAGTCAACTATAATATTGATTTAAAGCTTGTGCAAACCACGTATTTACAATAAATAAATGCTCCATTCAGAGCCTGAATGTCGAATGAATTACAACTTGAGTATGGTGGGGTCAGACACGCTCTCCTGGGGATGCTCAGCCCGCGGTGTGGACCCTTAGGTGGCCCACAGGACCTCAGCACCATCCGTCTTCTCACCGGAGTGTCTTTAGAGATAACTGTGGAAACACGACAGCATTACTAGGTGGGGCCAGAAGACTCATTCCACAGACAGCCCACCCTAGGGCTGGGCGCCACAGCTCTCCCTCACTCACGCAAGGCTGCCAGGGCCTGAGGGTCCCAGCACATGCAAGGAGCTTTTACCCATTGGGTGGTGGGTGGAAAAGGGATGAAATGGGATATGTAGTTTGTGGCATGTGGGGACCTAAGGCCACCTTATAAACATTTCTAGGACCAAGCACCAGCAATTCACTTGATAGGAAGCTCAGGAAAAGCAAAGAACATGTCGGAGACCCCAAGACATATAATGAAAAGGAGAAAAAGGGCCCCAAGCCTTCAGATTTCCAGCCCAGGGCTCCCACCTGTGCAGGGACCAATTGGGCCTGTATCCATAAGAAAAGAGCACCCCTGGGGCACTGTCTGCTATGTCTGGAACCTCGTGACTTCTCTGGGTGATTGCTTTTTGTCGTACTGACATGAAAATGATTCAGATGGGAGACCTAAAGAAGATCTTCTTGACTGTGGGATGCTCAAGAGAGACTTGACAGTCTATCCTTGACTAGACTCTCATGAGCTTGGGTGATTTAGGTGTGTGCCTGCCACGAGGCCAGGGATCAGACATCGCACAATGTTCGACTGTGCTTGCCACATTTGAGGTGAGGGTGACCCCTGCCCTGGCACTTCTACCACGCCAGGAAAAGCAGTGAGGTATAGCTGACGGAGCACTGGACAAGGAGTCAGAGATTGGGCGTGTGACCTTGGGCAAGCTCCTTAATTCCTTGGAGCTCAGTTTTCTCGTCTGAAAAAACAGCTTTAAAGGAATCTCTCCAGCTTATATCCCAGGGTTACTAAAAGGATCAAATGAGATAACATATGCAGGTTATCTGAAACATGTAAAGAGCTATATAACGTAGGGACTATTATTTTGATTATTACTATATTTTTCTGACCACAGGAGTAATGTCTTCATTGTAGAAAATTCAGAAATTGCAGAAACACACTAGGAAGAAAGTAAAAATCAGCCATCATCTCCCAGAGTGAATGCCTACTAACAATTCTGTGTGTATCCTTCTTGTCCTCTTTTTTCCTCTGCATACATACTTCTTCCTGAACTGCACTCATACAGCCCGATTTGGGCCTGTGATCATCTGAGAATGGTTTTTGCAATTCTTGGATCAGCCGTGGTCAGAAAAGGGAGGAGATGCTGTCCTCCTTCAAGGAACTCATCCCAGCTTCCAGGAACCTAGCTCCTTCCTTCCCACGTCTCTTTCTTTGAGGTTCCACACAGCTAAGATCCAATTTAACAGCAGGCCACCCTCTGTCACCCAGAGCTCTGAAACAGGAGGCGGCCAGGGTAGCACTGAATGCGTGTTTTCAAAGAAACAAAACGCCTTTAAAGATGAGGCGCTGTTGTGTGCGGTAGGAGACGTCATCTCCTCTTAGGTCGGGCAACACTCGGCCCAAGCTGCCTTGCATGAGAATGAGGGCATTTTCTCAAAGACTGTCTTACCACCCAAGCACCCATCTGCTTCCCTTCCCAGCTTTCCTCTAGCCACCAGGACTTGAATTGTGACTACATTTGACCAAAATTCATCATAATGTTGATGGGGGAGGAAAAAACCCAAGAGTGCATGTATTCTACAGATGAGAGTGGACACTGAATTACGTTTTATACACATTATAGGATTTTTCTCTCAGGTTTCTCATGCCATCCTAACGAGGGAAGAATGAATGGGGACTGAAGGGGGTGACTGTGGCAGAGTGATTCCAAAGGGGCTCTGGGTTGTCAAACTTCTCTGTATGTCACGGGGGTGATTCCAGGGAAACCCCCCTTTCACTCTTCAGATTTTGGAATTTCCAGTGTTTCACTCCAGCAGGGAACAAAGGGACACCAAACGGCTCTCCCTGAGGTAAAAGAGCCTGAGGAAAGTGTAAAGCTGTTAAGGAGAAAGTACACCCTCAACATTTCTGGGCTCCCTGAGGAGAATTCCTGATCTACATTCAGAGACCCGCGGGACGTGTTACCTGAGAGTTTCTGCCCTTGATGTCATCGGAGCCCTGCCCGGCCGGCTCGGCGTGGAGCCAGGGACCAGGTGTACGGCCTGAAAGAAACAGGAACCATCTCATCATCTACTGGCCCAGGGACCACTGTGCGCTTCACGGAGGAGCTCTGGCTACACCGATGGGCACTTAGAGGGACCAAGGGAAACACGAGCCCGCCAACCTGAAACCTTCAGGCTCCTGGCCCTCGACCGTGTGTTTCCACCCACCGCTTCTAAGTCAAAGACTGTGGATACACGGGTGTCACGCCCAATATACTGGGAGGAGAATAAGTTATGAAAGCTCATCATCTAAATGCATGTGAGAGCTTCTTAGCTCCAAACAAACCACCATCCCCAGAGTCCCTCATCTGTCCAGTCCCCTGAATGTGCCATGCACCATAAAAGATAAGTACAGCGACATAAACCAGGCTCTGTTCCATGATGCCGTGAGGAGCCCACTCATTCTCTCAAATATATTATGTTTAAATATTAAAGTTACATATAAATATAGTCTAGTAGTTAAAAATTCAAAGAATATAGATGATAGAAAAAAAATAACCAAAAGTGTCTCTTCTCTGCCCGCCCCTCCTTCTAATCCCAATTTCTCTCCCAGAGTCACCTCTGCTAAAAGTCCAGTGTATATTCCTCCAGATTTTTTTTTTCTCTTTGGCATTTACTTACACATATGTGTATAGTGCCAGATATATGGTTCGGTTGGTGTAGCCAAGTTTTAAATCCACATTCCCAGGTGTTCTAGAACTTTCCCTGTGAGTCAGGGTTCTCAGTGGAGTCCCTGGTATGTCTGTCTCAGCTGCATTTGACACAAGACTTTTCTGTCCTGCTTCTGTCACAGACTGGGAATTAAAGAGCCGCGTCCCAAAGCCCTCCAGACAATTCAGGCTGCTGTGCTACTTACGAAGCACCGCGAAAAGGAGAAATATTCATCACAGATTCTTTATAATAGTGGAAACCTGTTAATAACCTGTGCTCAGCAAAAGCGTTTAGGAAATCTAGGGTGTATTCTCATTTAATGGAGTACTAAGCAGCCGTGTGAATGTTTATTTACAAAGGCTCAAATAATTTGGGGTGATGTTTGAAATGTAGGAAAAAAAAAGCAGCCTAGAAACTATATAAATAGGATGACTTCGACTATTTTTAAAATTCGTAAAAAATGTAAATAATATACTGAATTCATTCTTCCTGGATTTACTATTTTTTTTAAATCTCTTAAAAAATACTTTTCAAGGGGCCAGCCCGGTGACCAAGTGGTTAAGTTCACGCACTCGGCTGCGGTGGCCCAGGGTTTTGCTGGTTTGGATCCTGGGTGCGGACATGGCACTGCTTGGCAGGCCACACTGAGGCGGCATCCCACAAGGCACAACTAGAAGGACCCACAACTAAAATATACAACTATGTACCAGAGGGCTTTGGGGAGAAAAAGGAAAAATAAAATCTTTAAAAAAAATACTTTTCAAGTTTTCTACAGTGAACATATGTCATCTTAAGAATCTTTTACGGTAACGTACAGTTTTTTAAATGAACTATCACACAGAAGGGTCCTCTATAACTTATAAAACACAGAGTATTTCAGATTCACTAAAACAACGGTTTTCAAACTTTTGGTACCACGACTCATAGTAAGAGATACTTTTACATCCCTACCCAATCCCACGCATGTACTGTACTTGGAGCTGCTTGAGTGACCCCTGCCGTCACCTCCACCCCCGGGGAGTGGGCTGCTCCTCCCCCGCTTATTAACACAGCTGTGTTGCAGGAGCTTCTCCCACAGACCAGCCCTGACGTGAAAGACTTCTCATAACTGCGGAGCTTAAAAAGAAAGTCTGTGCTTGGGCTGAAGGAACAGAGGCCTGAGGGCCAAGCTGGCTTCCAACTTTATTTTTTGTCATTTGTAAACCAAGCCAGTCTTGTATCTTTCTCCAGGCTCCAAGGTATTTTCATGTCAGGAAAAAAAAATCCATTTTATAGCCAACCAACAAGAGGATGAACACTGCAGGATCTGGAGAATGTCCAGAAAGGATTTACAAACTTGGCTGGTCGTTAACGCCGGGTGTCTTTGAGAGCCTCCCAGAACACCTACCAGCCTTGGAGCATAATTCCTGGGGCTGCGAAGGTGCGTGAGGAGAGAGGGGGGACTCCCAGGAGAAGCAGATATCATCAACACCGTCTCTCCAAGGCACGGTCCACATGGCATAGGGTGGGGAGGGAGCCAGGCGTGGTGCAGAGAACACCAGACAGGGAGCTCAAGCCCCAGGTGTGCCACCAGCTGTGACCAGGGGCAGGTCACTCCACTTCTGCCTCAGTTTCTTCAGCTGTACATGAAGCAAGTGGGCTGGATGACCTCAAAGGGCCTTTCCAGTTCCAACACCGGAGGCCTCTCACAGTCTCTAACTAAAGGAAATGACAGGTGTCACTGGAAATGAGAATTCTAGTATCTGCCAGATCTAAACCTAGAAATGGCATAGCTGGCCTCTCCTCTCCTTCCCCGCTGTCACTGTCATAGCTGAGGCTGGTATGAGAGACCCATCACTTCTTCCCCGACGACATCCCCCTTGTAGAGAACTGAGGGGTCATCCTACACCCCATGGGGCCTCGCTTCTCCCTCCACAGGTGCTCAGACCAGGATTGGGCTAAGCATATTCTCTCTCCCAATAATTTGGAATTTCAAAATTAGTTTTAATGATTGCTAAAAGCAATGTAGGGGGCCAGCCTGGTGGCGCAGCAGTTAAGTTCTCACGTTCTGCTTTGGTGGCCTGGGATAGCCTCTTCAGATCCCGGGTGCGGACCCAGGCACAACTTGTCAAGCCATGCTGTGGCAGGCATCCCACATATAAAGTAGAGGAAGATGGGCACGGATGTTAGCTCAGGGCCAGTCTTCCTCAGCAAAAAGAGGAGGATTGGTGGCAGATGTTAGCTCAGGGCTAGTCTTCCTCAAAAAAAAAAAAAAAAGGTAATACATATTTATTATAGAGAACTTGGACAAAATATGAAGCATAAAGAAAATAAAAATCACCCAGAATTCCACCACTGAGTAATAACCACTTTTAACCCTTTAGTGTATGTATTTCTAGTCTCTTCTCTCTTCTATTTGGTCAACTGCTTCTCCTTCTCCCTCGCAGCACAGATTCACAGAATCATTTCTTTCTTTCTTTTTTTTTGTGAGGAATTTGGCCCTGAGCTAACATCTGTTGCCAATTTTCCTTTTTTTTGCTTGAGGAAGACAGTGCCTGAGCTAACATCCATACCCATCTTCCTCTACTTTGTATATGGGATGCCACCACAGCATGGCTTGAAGAGCAGTGTGTAGGTCGGCACCTGGGATCCGAACCTGTGAACCCTGGGTCACTGAAGCGGGGTGCATGAACTTAACCACTATGCCACTGGGCTGGCCCCACAGAATCATTTCTTTTATAATTCAGCTTAGGTTCTATTTTATGTACTTTTAGTATACTGGGGTTTTTTCTTGTTTTGTTTTTACTTCTCAAGGTAGTGTTAACATTTTCCCGTGTCACTAAATACTCAACAAAACTACTTTAATGGTCCATCCTGCAGCTCTGCCTTACTTTATTTAACCTCCTTGTTGGAGATTTGTGCTGTTTTCAAATTCTTATTCTGTAAATGGCTTAGCAGTGTATATAGGTGTGGAATTTTTATTTATTGATTCAACAAGCATTTATTGAGTGTCTCTGTGCCTGGCCTCATTCTGGAACCTGGAGATAGAATAAATAGGATAAATAAGCAAATAAAAATTGATGCCGTCCCTGCCCTCCAGGACCTTACACTGTACTGGGGGAGACAGATAGGAGGCAGGTAAATATATGCTATGTCAGGAGGTGTTAAGTGCTTTAAAGAAAAGGATAAAGCAGCGTGAAGAGAACAAAAACGATGGGGCAGGAAGGGCTGCTATTTTCCAGAGAGGGGTCAGGGAAGACCTCTCTGCTAAGGTCCCACTTGATCAAAGGCCCAAAGGAGGCAGGGAGTGAGGCTCACGGATTTCTGGGCAAAGTGTCCCACCGAAGGAACAGCAAGTGCAAAGACCCGAGACATGGGAGTATGCTTGGAACAATCTACAAAGTGCAGGCGGTCTGTGCTGTGGAAGCAAACGGAGGAGAGGGGGAGCGGCGGTGGCGGCGGCAGCTCATGTAGGTCTTATGAGCCAGGATACGAATTTCTAATTGACTTGGAGCAAGACAGGAATTCACTGGAGGATTCTGAGCAGAGGGCGGCCTGACTGCACTTGGGCTTCAGACGAATCACTCGGGCTGCAGTGTGAAGCAGGGATGCCCACTGGCGGGTTCCTGCAGCGTCCAGGTGAGAAATGACAGTGGCTTGGGCCAGGGTAAGAGTGGCCGAGGAGGTGAGAGAGATCAGATTGGGGGCGCATTCCCAAGGAGGAGGCCCCAGAGTTGACTCTTAACTTGGATGCGGGAGAAGAGAAAGAAAGAAGCCAAAGATGACTCCAAGTTTTTGGTGTAACAAATGGAGGAGCAGTGAGTGAGTGGGGGAAGGAGAGGAGGGAGGGGGCTGTCTGAAAATCTAAGCGAAGAAGTGGTCCAGAAGGAGGGAGTGATGGACTGCGGCCAATGCCTCTGACCACTGGATTGGGCAACATGGAGCTCCACTGGTGGCCTTGCCAGGGCTCTTTCCATGGCAAGGTGGGGACATGCCTGGGAGGACAGGAGGAGAGGAAGTGGAGATGGTGTTGGCTATAAGAGGGGCAGAGAAATGCTCCAGGGGCCACAGCAGGTCAGGAGATATTTTATAGATATTGCAGGACCTTTGTGGGTTCAGAGGAATAAAGGAGTAACCTGCAAAGACAGGACTAGTGGTAAGAGAGTGGGATGCTGGAAGGCAGCTCATGAAGGGATGCGGTCAACAGAAATAATCAGGCAGGGCTAGCATACGCCAAGGGCAGAGGTCCTTACGTCCAACTGCCCTCCACATGGGTGGAAATAAACACTGGCATTGTCTACTGATTCTCTCAGTCTTGAGACAATTAATCCTTTGATTTTATGACATAGACCCCCCAGTACTGTTGGAAG